TGGCTGTAAAGCACTGTGAAGTGGTATATAAGTCTAAGTGCTATTGCTATTGCATGATACAGCTTCCAGCTTCTCCCATAATTTGGTCCTTGATACAGAATCAAAATAAAAGCATTTTATGTGTATTTAATAGTGAAATTTAAGTGGAAAAATAAGTATGGAGTAGTCAAGTTTCCAATTGTATAAAACCTTTCAAGAAAAAATGAGACTTTTTCCAAACCTTTTGTTCTGTCTCTAAACTGTACTAAACACTAAACCAATCCTAATTTGGAAAAAATGTGGATATTTCCACTGAAGCATTTGAACAATCAATCACTATGATGTATAAACTGATATATAAAATTTACCTGTTTCACTAGGAGAGGTCTGTTTACTGCTCAGAGTTTTTCCCATTCCAATATTGCACTTGCTCCCTCAGCTTTTAGGAGGACAATTATATTATTAAATAACATTTATTAAGTAACATTTATAACCAAAATGATACCACCAGCCATTTTCAGGAGGACCTCTATATTTGTAGTAGTTTTTATTATGTGTTTATAAATGTATACGGTACATTTGTATGTAAAATATGACAAAACTCTTAATGGAGAAAAGTTCTCAAAGAAAGGAAAAATTTGGGTTATATGAAATATAATGAAATTTGTTAGAAAAAGCCATGAACCAAAAACTCATTACAGGGTAGATTTGTCTTTTTTTTCAGCCTAAAACTATTTTTGAGATTATTTTTGGACTTTCTTTGAAAACCTAGTATGTTAAAGTAAAAGAGATTAATTGGATGATTTAACTTCCAGATTGACTCTTGCAAGACACAAAGATATTTTATTTATTTTCTTGCAATTCAAATCCACAATAAAGAATAAGTACAGCAAGAAACCTAGAAGAAATTCGGAAATTAAACAATATCTTTGATCGTATCCGTAAGCATCTCCCAGGAATTATAAACAAATTAGCAGATAGGGCCCATTCGATCGGTACCTGCTTAAAAGGCAGTTTCCATTCCCAAATAGTGTTTCCTCACTATTAAGCATATTATACTTAAGTGCAACTATGCACATCTTTCAAATACTTACCAATTTTTCTAGACATCTAATTTCTATTATATCATATTTGCATAATTTTAATGAAAACATCAGTCTGCTTACTCTCAATCTGCCTTTTTCCTCATATTTTAAGCCCCTGAGAATCGATGTAGTTGTAGATAGAAGATTTATGAATAATGGAAATTCTAAAAGTGTTACATAAAATTTTGGCACAATTGCTCCTACTCTGTCTTCTCTTTTGTCACTAATTATTGAAGATTGCATTCAAGGGAAAAAAGCACTTGTCAGTAGATCATTGAAGCAACTGTGTCTTTTATAGGGTCACAGTAGTTCATCCTGATTCTTTTCCTAGGATTGCATGGCTGATGTCTTGAGTTGTAGCAAAATCCCAGGAAAAGATACCCTTAATTAAAGATTTAAACCAGGGGTGAAATGCTCCCAGTTTGGACCGGATTGCCTGATCCAGTAGCGATGGCGGTGGGTGGTTCGGAGAACTGGTAGCAAAAGTCCCCCCCCCCATGCCCAGCTGAGCCGTGCAATCATCAGAGGCTTTTTAAAAAAAAATTTAAAAACATTTTTTCTACAACCTCTTTGGCTGAAAAAATGCTTTTAAAACTAAAAAAAAAAGCCTCTGATGATCGCGCAGCTCTTCGTCTGAAGAGGTTATAGAAAAAATGCTTTTAAAAGGCTCTGACAATCCCAGCTGAGTTGCCTGACAGATTGGCCAAAGAGGTTGTAGAAAAAATGGTTTTAAAAGTAAACAAAAAAAAAAAGTTGGCCACACCCACCCAGTCACAGTACCCCCCACCAAGCCACGGCCAAAGAACCAGTAGTAACAAATTTTACATTTCACCATTGGTTTAAATTGTATGCAATGCCTATTTGTGTTGTGGAATAACTATTTCCCTTTGAATCTTATGTACTGCGTTGCTCTAATAACATGTTTTTATTAAACATTGCAATTAAAAATAAAAATATAAACTAAGAAAAAGAAAATAATAAAAAGAAAAAATAAAAAGTGGAAAAGTAGAAAAAAATAATATAAAAGAAGAGAAAAGAAATTTATAAATAAATGATTTCCCCCTCTATTATAACATACATAAACAATTTTAGCAAGTTACCATCTTCTCTAAAAATAAAATAAACAATCTTTCCATATCACATCTCTTATCTTTAAACAAATCCTTAAAATCTTGTCATTCACCCTAGTCAGCAAAAGTCCAATAAGGATTACGAGAGATAAAAACGTATCTATTTTAACCTTGATCAAATAAATCAACTTTATATTCCTTCCTTTTAACAATATTGATCAGGAATGGGCAATTAATTTTCTCAAGAGGCCATATGTGAAACGGACTGTTGTGGAGGGTTGAACAAATAGAGCTGCAGCTACTCCTTTTTTAAGCCATTGAGCCAGCGCTGTCTGAAGCTCCGCCTTGAATCTTCAGACAAAAGCGGCATACAAGTTGAATAAATAAATAAATAAATAAATAAATAAATAAATAAATAAATAAATAAAGATGTTTCCACTATCAGGTGGCCAACATGACATGCCGCAGCGTAAAGTATACAGTGAAATATGAAACTGTTACTTTCCCACTGAAGTAATACCTATTTACTCACTTTTCTATGGGAAGGAGTCTTATTAATTTCAAAATCATATTTCAAATCCATCTGGATCCTTAGTCTATTTGTAATATTCCAAAATGAATCAGCCTTTTGCTGTTTATTCCAAATAAGAATTTTTTAAGACCTAAAACTTATATATAAAATTTATTTTGTGAAGGAATGAAGGAAACTTACTCAATGCTATAGAAACTTGTAGTTCCAAAGATTAATAGCTGAAAAAGAATTAATGAACAATTTCCAAAAATGATTAGAGGTTGTGTTCATAAAGACGCCATCAGCAGTTTTGACAAAGGAATTTCCTCATCTCCCAGAGCTCTAAACCTACCAGTTCTTACAAGGAGCAATTGTCTGGCACACTTTTGGGCAACCCCAAATTATCAGCTCCACTCTTGATGTGGCCATCTTCAATTGACCATTTCTTCCCTAGAAGTCCCATAATTAGTAACATTTTAAAGGCTGCACCTATTTTGATATTTATTTAATAACAGGTCTCAATGAACTAAGTAGAGCATATTCCTTTATGAGCATAATGAGTTTGAAAAGTGAACCGGCCCCTCGTGTCAACCAAGATTTAGTATATCTCTGTAGAGCTAAAAACTATATCTCTGTAGAGCTAAAAACTATTGAAGTTATGTAGAAGAATGACACAAATAAAAGGGCAATTTGAAATCTGAGTTTTAATCTTCAAAATGCACTTGTGAAATGGGGTAAAGAAGTCTGTATTTAATGTATTTAGTCTGTATTTAATGTCAGACTAAATCAAAAGTGTTTTGAATTACAGTTGATTTAATTAGAAGCTTGTTGCACACACCTGCTCAGTCATTTTCACTTGGTTCTTCCATTCAGTGGGAGCAGCTAAACAGATCAAAGAAACACATTGCCTTGTTTCCTAGAATGTTGCCGGAACCAGTACCTCTAGTTTGCTCTTCTATACCTGGAAATCATGTTTATTTTTTGGCTGTAGATTCTGGCTTATTAAAGGAAGAGCTTTCATATGTTCTGCTTCTGGCAGGAGGAGTCAAGCAGAAGTGATTGAGTAATGGTTCCACCTAAAATATGCATTTCCAGGAAATGCAGACAAATGAGAAGTCTACTTAAACTCTGCATCTATCAGCTATTATGTTAATCCCATAAGGCAAACCATAATCACTTGTGTATGAGTGAGATGCTTATGGGATTATGGATAGTTAATAAAGTGTAACAATTAATGCAAAAAGTCTAAGAGCCAATTCAGACTAATAGTTGTTATAGCAGTAATTATAGTAAACTAGCGGAACTCAAAGGTTACAAATAAAAGGCAATTGGGGATAAAAACCTGGTGTAATGATCTTGGTAGACTTGAACAATATGAATTTGGATATGTCATCCTCTCTTGCTCTCTTCAATTTCGTAGTGTGCTTTGCACAAATGTGAGCTATCATGGCATATAAAAAAGCCATAGTTGCCACAAAAGCAGAACTGGAAGCCACAAATGGTGTGGGCTATATGAGTAATAATCTTTATAAAGCATGTTCTCATTAAAAAATCAATTAGATGTTTACTGGTTGAGAATAGAAATGCTTGCTTTTACAAGCAAGCATTTTCTAATTTTTACAGAAACACTATTATAGTAGATGTTTACTGGTTGAGAATAGAAATGCTTGCTTTTAATGTTTCTAATTTTTACAGAAACACTACTATAGTAGAGAGGAAGTAGTCACAATTTCAAATGCTACATTCTTACTAAGTACCCTCAAAGTACATTGTGCTGGTGATAATGCTTTCCTTCTATAACTTAACAATTTAAGCAGGGGAGATTTTGGAGGGAAGAAGTGCAAATGAGAAGGTGAAAATATAAGCAAGTATAATTAAAGGTAATACTTGAAAATTCAGTAGGACTTAATCCAGATAATCATATATCTGTGCATTTATAGACTGTACAGATATATAAGATAGTATTTTAAATGTAAGGGGTAGTTTGAGTATTTACTCACAAAAGAAATAACGAAGATACATGATCAAATGATTCTACACCAATATTTATCCCATTCCAGAGTCTCTTATTTTTCCTTGAAGTTTTATTAATGGTCAAATGTGTTAATGGAAGGTGACATTAAATAAAATTTAGGTTACTGTTTTAGAGAAAAAATTGTTTCTTTTTAATTACAGAGCATATGATGACACAAAGCGCATAGTGAAGAGTATATTTTGCTATCAGAATACATGTCAGAATAACACTTAGAGAGTAGTCTAATTGAGCTGCCTTTTGTAAATGTGAAAAGTGTAGTTGCTGGATTACTGCTGCTCGGGAAAAACATTCTTGTGCATTTGTTTGATTTTTCTTTCAAGGCATTTAAGAGAGAAGACAGCAATAGCAGTAACATCTAAAGGGTTCTATGGGCTGGAAGATGAGAAGGGAACAGCTTGTACTTCAACAAGGCGTCGTTCTACACCCCGCAGTTTAGCAGGCTTGACTACAGGCGTGTTTGAATCCGTAATGGTTCAGGTTCTGAGACAGGAAGAACAACTGAAAGCAAAAGAAGAAAAGAGGTAAAAGGCAAAAGTGGAATGTGTTTAGCTATTCTTTCTTTATTTTGTCCATCCAGGCTTTGTCCCTTAAAAGATTAAACATTTCACTTGCCCCTCATTTCTGGTTCAAAACGGATTTCCAAAAGAAATCTAAATAGTTACAGATAATTATGCCGTTGTATCTGTTCTTAGAAAAATAAGACTTTTTTGAATCAAAATATATGAAATACACTTTTATATTTCAAGAATTAAAAACTGCTCTAAGACTACAGAATAAAAAAAAAATTAATCATTACTTTCCTGTGGGTAGCATCCAATTGTGTCTAGATATTGGTAGACGGGTACTTGTTGAGAAAACACCTACCCAGTCTCTCTTCACTGCATGTCTCCCAATCAGCTTTCAGAAGTTCATGGGAGGATGCAGGGGAAAGCAAGGCACCAAGATGTCTACTCACATAATAGTGGTGGTAGCCTTGACTGTTCATTTCATTAATGCCCTGCTTTGGAACAAAAAACATGTATTTTTGTTTTATTAGAAAACCATTTGATAGCAAAGTATCTCAAAGCATTTCATTTTTCGGGGGACGGTTTAATTTAGACATTAGCTCAAACATCAACATAGTTAACATTTCTCCCATTTATTTTACATGATTAATAGTTTACAATTAAGTTTAATGTAGCATTAATATATGGAGTTATATAAAATCAGGAGGAAGGTGAAAAAGGAGCCTGAAGAAGAAGGTAACTACTAATTTGGTAGAGCGGCTTGGCTTAGAAAGCTTTTACTATTAATTAAAATTAACTTTCAGGAAAGATTCTCTTTTGAATTATGAAAATTAATTTTGGCATGTAGGGTTATCTTAATTGATGGCAAAAGTTCCTATTTTTATAAAGTAAGAGGTATATAAATCTAAGTAAAGCGATAGATCTTCAATTTTATTGATAAGTACATTTTTATTTTTGTAAAGAATGTATTATTTTTATAAATCTTCCTCTGCAACAAGAGGAGATAAAACTACAATTCTTGTCTTTAGTCTGTACCATTCTTCTAAAAAACATCATACTACACCATTCCTTCATTTTGGTCACTTCTTTATTTCTGAATTTCTGGAGTTCAGAAGTTCTCTTAGAACCTCCTTAGATAAGAAATCTGCAGGTATCTTTTGTTTTTTAGGTTGATGACGGATGGAAAACTTGTACAATTTTTGGACAAAATTCTATCAGGAATAGAATTCATTTATTAAATCTAAACTAAATTCTTAATAAAATTCTAAATTTTATTAAGCTAGCTTCAACTTTTGCTGTTAAAGGACATTTCGAGATGGCCTCATCCATACAGCACACCAAACCATAAAATAGCTTATATGAATTCTCCCTCATTGTGCTTTTCAAGCCATGATTTTTGAAGTATTGTATGAACCAGGCACTTGTGGCTTACTAAATGAATCATGATTTAGGAATCCAGTTAATATTAATTCTTTTATGTTTGTATTGCTCTTCATCATTTAATTATTAGTAACTTTCCCTGAATTAGTCTCTATATATGTAAGTCTAATCCCCATCATCCTCTATGTGATTGAGGAGTATATTAATTATAGATGAATCAAATATATCTGGGAACAGAATAATTAGTGTTTGGCTATGTATTGTTATTGCATACAGTTTAGAGGATTGTTAATACCTCAGTTTAAACAAAGCACTTTGATTTGTAAATCCAGTCATTGTTAAGACAAAAACATATCAGTATAATCAAGTATTGATGTGTGAACAAGCTAAGGTAGTTTTAAATATACAAAATATTCTTTTCTTGTTTGATACTACATATGCAATCTTGAAGCAGTCCACATAATTATTCCAAGGATGAAAGCATGGAAGCTTTGTTTGTGTCTCAAACTTTCTAGAATTCATGAAAAAAAAAAAACAATGCTTGATTAATAGTCTCTCTAAATTTTCTTCAAGAGTAGGAGAACTCTCATTCTTTACAGAATAAAATTATGTACAGAACATACTGGTTTTTTTCCTTGAATTTGTTTAGCAAAAGCTGTGCTCTAGAGGTAGCATACATACAATTAATGTTACAGCTTATATTCAATCAGCTCTGAGATTTACTGAAGCATAGAATGTAATGGACAGTGCTTGCATCAATAGTTAGCTGCTGCAATGCTTATGAGTTTAGGATCTTTTCTTATATTGAAATTAACGTGTTGCAGAAAGAGGATAAAGAATTGATATTGGCCAAGTGACTTATTATTAGGACTCTAATGTAATTGAAACAGATACCAAACAGCTCGTACAATAGATGAAATATAAAATAAACTGAAGGTATGCAATTAGAGTCAGTTGCAGAGAATATAAGATTTAGTATTCAGTAGTCAGAAATTTAAAAAATTATAATATATTGGGAATATGGATTGTGACAAAGTTAAGTATTGTGATTTAAAATGTATATTGACATATTTATCAATATGGTGGTCTTTATAAATGAAGAAACCTTTGATAGGATTTAAAGTGTATTCCTTTAGAACTTGGGTCCCAAAAGTACAAGGGCAGAAATAGCAGGGCTTTCCCACACTTCGTCTTCTTACAGTTAATCTCCTTAAAAGAAAAGACTTGGATAAAAGCCAGGAGGCTATAGCAGGTGGGATTATGTGGACTGCAGCAGGTGGAACTATACTGTATGGGCAACTGTTCTGAGAAAGTGTTTTTCCTTTACATAGAATTCTGTGGGATCTCAGTATTTAGTCTTGATAACAATAAAAAATGAGAAGTAGAGTCCTGTTCTGTGCATGAGTGTGGTAAGATTTCAATACAGTTAATTTGAGACATTAGTAATTGTTATATTATGTTTTTTATATTATGCAATAGTATATATTATAAATAACAAGATTTTGCTAGTATTTAGTCCATCAGCTGTTCACTAAACACAGGCACCATAACAGACAATTTTTTTTTGTTTTTGTTTTTGTTTTTGGATGCACTGAGTGCAAATGTCTGGTGTTATAATATTTTATCTTTATACTACATCATGCTATAAGTATTAATAGCAAAATAGGATGTGAGAGTTAATATATCTTGGACTTCAAAAGAAGTATAGAATCATTTGCTGCATCAGCACCTCTAGGTGCTATATTTCAAAACTTGTTCTAGTTGAAGGATAACTCAATATCCAGTGGCAACAAGATAATAAAATACCCAGGTTGCTTTTTTGGTGGATTTTGCATTACAGAAGTATTGAAGTATCCAAGACTCAGTCAAAATCTTAGTTATGCTACTATAAAGTTTCTTTTGCTTTTATGTGCAAATTATTTTCCATTTGTCTTCCTTTTTTTAATATTAAACCTGATTTTTTTTAGACTTCGAGAACAAGAAAGAAAAGAGGCAGAAGAAGCTAGTCAAAAAGAAGTAGAAGAATGGGAGAAGTCTCTTCTGTCTCAAGCAGCACCTACTCAAATGGAAAACATGTGGGAAATTCCAGCTATTGGCCATTTTCTTTGTTTAGCACAACATATTTTAAATTTGCCTGAAATAGTATTTTATGAATTGGAACGCTGTCTTTTGATGCCTCAGTGTAGTCCATTTTTGTCTAAAATAATGACTTCTTTGTTAAGTCCTCCCCATCGAAGATCTACTTTGCATCGAAGACCAAGTTTACCTTACAGGACTTGGGAAGCAGCACTTAGACAGAAAGTACAACAGTGGTATACAATGGTTGGGCAAACCGATAATCCAGACAGTTGTGCAGAAAAACTTGGCCTCTGTCCTCAGTTTTTCAAAGTTCTTGGAGAAGTCAATCCTTTGGAGGAAAAACCATTTCATGAACTTCCATTTTGTCAGAAGGTATGGTTGCTTAAAGGCCTCTGCGACTTCATATATGAGACTCAAAAGGATGTACAGGATGCAGTACTTGGTCAACCTATTCATGAGTGCAGGGAAGTGATTCTGGGTTATGATTACTTAGAACATGCTTATGTTCACTTCCCACAATTCTGTGGTGCAGACGTACGGATTTATAAGCAAAAGCCTTTTCATGCCCCTGAATTTCCCATTCCTCCAATTAAAGTAAAAAGAGTACCACGCATTAAACTGGAGAAGGTGAAATGTGAGTATGGCACCAAAAGCAATGGGGAAATTAGATTTGATGCTAAAGAGCTGTTGCCTCATGCAAAACAAGAACCTGGAAAAAATCTTTGCTTGGCCAAGGTTCACTTGAATCTCTTGAATGTTATACCAGAACATGAAATTAAATACAATTGTGAAGAGAAAACACATAAGGATTGTGACTTTACAAAAGATTGCTGTAAAGAAAATCAAGACAAAGGCATTGTTTCAGAAGATGGTTTGGGGGAACCTCTTAGCCCAGGAGAAATCAGGATTCTAGAAAACAAAGAAAAATATGGTGAATCTTCAGTTGTCAAACTTGAGGGAATCCCATTAAAAGAAAACACACTTAAAACATGCCAGATGCATGTGAATGGTAATCAGACTGACAATGCAGACTTTAATTGTCACAAAGTTACTAAAGAAGTGACTTCAAAGAATTCGGTAGAACAGAAAACACTAATGTTTAGTAAAATAAGAGCAAAGAAGAAGAAGAAAAAGAAAAAGAAATTGAAAGATATTTTGAATGAAAGCCTTCAGAGAAAACGTGAGATTCATCTCCACTCATTAAAATCTTATAAACCTGAGATCCAGAATAAATTACTCATGATAAAAAAGAAAGCCAAACACAAGAAGCACAAATCTGGTAAGATGACTTGAACAAAGCAACGGGGAAATAATTTTTCTGGTTGTTTTTCTATTTTAACATTTAATGTTGGCACTAAAAATTGTTCTGAGTTTGACTTTCTTTCCAGCCTAGACTGTACAGGTAGCATCCCTCCACACACAAGGAGAGAGGAACGCCTCCAAAGGGCTGTAGGAATGGAGTTCAGACTCCGAAGACCTGAACTTTGTTCCTGCAATTATTCAGAGGAGTTCCCTTCTGCGCACAGAGGGGAACTGAATTCAGCAGGCAGCCTCTTTCGCGCTGTCTGCTTAGAAGATTATTTAATGACTGCAAGCAGGAATGCAGGAGTGCAGTTGTTGAATGAAGCAGTCACATGGGCATTTCACTTAATGTCAGTTTCTCTCAACAACTGAGATTCCAGTCCCAATTGTCATAAATTGAAGACTAATTATATTAAGCTTGCAGATTATTTGTATTTTACAAAAGTAGTGTCATCAGCACTTACATAGGCTATTAATGTTTCTTCCCCAGTGTTGAATTAATCTTCCAATCCAGCTTCCCTCAATATATATACTATATATAGGTTGAAAAAATAAGGAAAGAGTATGCAACCTTCTCTCACTCCTTTGTCAATTGGGGGGCAGTTTTTTTTGCTATATTCCATCAAAACTGTGGTTTCCTGACCTGTGTATAGGTTTTGCATGAGGAAAAGAACATATTCTAGGATTCCCATTTTTAAACAACATTCTATAGCTTGACATGATCAAAATAATCAAAGGTCTTTCTGTAATCAATAAAATATATAATTTTTTCCTATTCTTTGGCTGTCTTAATTTATCTAGAGCACATTAGCAATAATATCTTATATTCCAGCCTTTTATGAAATCAGGTTGCATATCTGGCCACCTCTTTTTCATACAGGATTCTAATTTGCATTGGATGACCCTAAGGCTTATTTAGCTAGCATGTGAAATTAAGGATACTTTATGATAGTTTGCAGAGTCTATTACTTTTTCTTTCTATGCTATTAAAATATAGGTTGACCTTTTCCAATCTGTTGGCCACTGTGTATTCTCACAACATACTGTATTTGTTGGCCTACTTTGATTAGAATCCTTTCTGATTCTTCTTCTGTTGCTTGTCATATTTTTGAACATATTCTTTCTATTTCTGTAACCTTCTGATTTGGCAATGACCAGAGTATACTGTTCTCATTAGTGATCTTCTGGTACTAGAGTTTTTTTAAAATTGGGAATGTCTTCCAAAGTATATTGGATATTGATAACTGTACTTTACAGAATCACAATATACTCCTTTCATATTGTTTGATCTTTGAATCAGCTACTATCAGTTGAATAAATTACTATCTTCCATTGGCATCCTTTAGCATTCCAATTCAAAGTTGGTACCTATTTCTCAATTCAATGATGTTTTGAAAGACTTTGCTTGTTTTTCTATGTTTCCATTTTCAATGTCTTTACAGATGTCATAATACTGCTTTATGTCTTTTCTAATAGCTTTCTGAAATTCTTTGTCAAATTCGGTTCTGATATCTTTGTCTTTCTTGGCTTTAGCTTCTCTTCTCTTCTTGGCAATTTTCACTATGCATTCTGAGATTTGCTTTTTTCTTTTCTTTAATCTTATGCACTCTTTTTTACATAAATCTTTAACAGTTTATTTTAGTTCATTCCAAACTACTTCTGGTTTCCTCTCCATAAGTTCACAATTTCAGAATGATTCTGGATATTATCTTTGAAAATATTGTGTACATGATCAAGTTCTTATCATTGTTTATGGAGATTCTCAGTCATCCAGGTTATGGTTGTCCCAAAGGTGCTTTTTCAAGAGGCAACTGGACTTTCTTGTTTTTCTTTGAAGAAGTTTCATTTCTCATCCAAGAAACTTCTTCAGCTCTGACTGGATGGTGGGGGATGGAAGAATTACACCATCCTTTCAGCAGTTCCAAGAAGGCTCCACACCCATTTGCACGAAGGTGACCCTGAGGACACCAATAAACCTCCAAGTTGTCTCAATGACTTTCTAAAAGAATGCAAATGACCAGCTATCTGCAAGGAATATAAATGCTTCCATTCCCCACCATTCAGTCAGAATTTAAGAAGCTTATTGATTGAGAAGTGAAACATCTTCAAAGAAAAATAAAGTCCAGTTGCCTCTTGAAAAGGCACCTTTGCGATGGAAAGTAGTTGGATTTTTTTCTTACAATTTAATTTAATCTGGAAGATGTTCATGAGCAGTTAGTGAAGTATTCCATAGTCAGACCTTGGCCATATCTTTATTTTTATAAAGGAGCTCTTCCACCTCCTTGTACCAATAATATAGTCAATTTGATTTCTATGTACTCTCTCTGGTGTACATAGAAATTTCATTTTGGTTATTTGAAGGCTGTGTTGGCAATTAATAAATCACTGGATTGGCAGAAATTAATGTTGTTGTTCTGCTTTATTTTGGTTTCCTGGGCCATACAGTCAGCTATATTTTCCTCCTTAATTATTTCCAAGATTGGCACTCTAATCTCCAAACACAGGTAATATATCTTGCTTACAGTTCTGTCAGTTTTGAATTGAATCTGATCATAAAACTCATCAATTTCTTGTTCTTCTGTATCGGTGGTTGGAGCATAAACTTGGATAATCATATTAAATGGTTATTTACAATGTTTAATTGGTATATTAAAAAAATTAATCCCGCCGTTTATTATTTTTATGAATAGCTCAAGGTGGCGAACATGTGAAATACTTTTTTTCCTTCTATTTTCTCATATCAACAATCCTGTGAGAAGGGCTGGGCTGAGAGAGTGACTGACCCAAAATCACCCAACTTGCTTTCATCCCTAGGCAGACTGAAATCATAATTTCCTAGTTTCTAGCCTGGTACCTTAACCACTAGATCATTGGGTCATTAATTGCATTGTAGTCAAGTATTGTTCTTACTGTACCCTTCCTAAGAATGAAAGCAAAATAATTCTGACTTCTTTTTGAGTCTTGATGTGCTGTTCCGCTCACTCACACATACACGTAACTGTGGTTTAGTGGGCTTGTTAATATTCCCCAACAATTCCCTTCACCAAAAACTGTCCCAATTAAGTCCAGCCACAAGCAGACCAGGGTTAGCCCACAGAGCAAGGGCCCAATAGTCCACAAAGCACTTGAAAGTTGATCAAACAAAATAACTCCACCAGACAAACTGAAATCCACCAGGCAAAACTTAAATCCACACATAAGAAATCTCACAAGGCAAGAAAAGTCCATGGTCTCCAAGGCACCATTCCAGAGTGAAGCAGAATCATGACAACCAGACACACAGCTAGAGAACAAACACATTGTTCCCAGCAATGCCTTCATCCATCTGTTGTGGTAAATAGCCAGCTTCCGGTGCAGCTCATCAAGATGGGTGGGGCTTTCTCCTCTCAAATAGTCTGGCTGACCTTCTCTGCTCCTGCCTTTTCTCTGTCCTGGATCAGATGCAGAAGGCAGTTCCTCCTCCTCTTCGCTGGCTGTCTGCCACTGCAAGCTTTCCCGAGCTGGAGTCTCAGCCAAATCCCTTCAGGACAGCTGTCCACCATCAATCCACCCAGTTCCTGATATGCCAGGAATTGGTTCATCCTCCCCTGAGTGGACATCCTATGAGATATCTGGGAGACATCACATTTGAGTAGTAAACAGTGTGATCTTTTGACTGAAAATATCTGACAGCCTTACCAGTAAACCAGATAGGAAGCATCACCTGAGAAACTAAGGAGGGTCCCTTCTGGGCCTCTTGCCCTATCAACTAGCCAGCTCTCTCTTATCTGTGTTCCCTAGGCAGAAATTATTTGCCCCTTCTCCCAGGGTCTTTCCCACATGCCTACAGAGTACAATTCCAATTCATTCTATTTACTAATACCTAAGATAGCAATGTGTAGTTGTTTCATTTCATATTTCTCTGTTCTGAGTTTGTTCATGCTTCTTACATTCCATATTTCCTTTGTAATTCTGTCCGCAGCTTTGGATTTTCTTTTCATGGCAATATGAGCAACTAGACTTCCTGAAGGCTTTAATGTAGCTACATTATAAACACCATTAACATGCTGAAAGATCCTCAACTCTTCCTCAGTACTATGTTGAATGCCATTTGACTTAAGGGGTTCATCATTTGCCAATGTATCGTCAATTACTTTATATTATTTATATACTCCCAATGTTCTTCACTCATCCACCACCATGCTGAGGTAGCACAGCAAACATTCCAGAGGAAAGAACCAACATTATTACTAGCTGCTCAGAGTCAACTCAAATTGTGAAATGAGTGGCATATAACAGAATAACAGAGTTGGAAGGGACTTTAGAGGTCTTCTAGTCCAACCCCTTACTCAGGCAGGAAGCCCTATACCATTTCAGACAAATGGCTGTCCAATCTCTTCTTAAAAACTTCCAGTGTTGGAGCACCCACAACTTCTGGAGGCAAGTCATTCTGCTGATTAATTGTTCTAACTATCAGGAAATAATAAATTAAATTAAATAAATATATAAATAACTTATGGGTCTCTCTGGTCCCTCTTTCTGAGAACTGCCTTTAAAAGCAAAACAATTTCTTCAATATTTGAAGATCATTCTTTTTAAAACTTCCCCATTACTATCATAAAAATGTTCTAGTCTTTTTGTAGCAATGTAAACATCAATGCATTGCTTCTATTCATCATTCAAATAATGTATTAGGTGCTCAGAGTCCATGTTTCTGAGCCATTGATATATTAAGTAAACTTAGCTCAAATGACTAAAATTAAGCAAAATTCAACTATTTTGAGTCCTGCTCTGCATGAGCTTTATTTCCAGTTTCATAATGACAGAAATTCTCTTAAAATTTTTGAGTTCCCTATCTGGCCCCTAAATATTGATATTGAGATATTTTTTCTGACAGATATGATATCCTGGTTGGTTTTGCTTAAAATGTTCAATGTGGAAGAAAAAAATTAAAGAACTGTATTAAGTTTTGATTATCCATGTTCTCAAAACATTCACATAGAAAAGTTTATTTTAAAACAATATCGTTAATCGAACATTAGTGAGGTTGACCTTCAGTAAATTCAAGATCTGAGGGTAGCTAATTCATTCTATTCTATCAATCAAATAGATCATAAAAGGAATATATTCATTGCAATTTGAACTCCTGTAATGTATATTATGTAAGAATATTATATTGTATCATTTCTACATATGACACCTAATAGGAAAAAATATAAATGCTTTTTTTGGTCATTCATTTGCTTATAAGAATTTACTCTCTCATCTTTGAAGATATAGGTTTATAGGATATCAGATATATGAAATAGGTGGCTGTTTATTACCAAAATCAAACAGTAAGAAAACCTTGCAATAAAATGTTAACAATGTGAAATGTTTTTAGTTAGTGGTATTCCAGTGTTTCTTGATGTATACTCTGGGAACAGCAGTATTTCATAAAAAAAGTTAGAAGTGTGCACTGAATGTTCATAAAAATACTTCATCTTTTACACATGATCCCACACTGCTGGCAAATTGCTATGGGGGGATTTTGATTTATCACTTTGATCAGCACTGGGGTGCCTCAAGCAAGGAAATTGCAATGCCCATTTCAATTCATAAAGCAAATGGAACTGTTTCCTCCACTCAAGCAAAATTCCCTTTTCTGATCACAAAGCCATTGGAAGTACAGGCACAGAAGACAGAAATTGCACCAAGCATGTTTCCAGTCACGGTTTCAGTAGTCAAACAGTTTTTAAAAATTATAGATCTCTGTCAGTATACCATAATCTTGAAAAGTTTAAAAATATCGACCTACTCTGTCCCCAATCCTGCATTGTGTTTGATTTTCTCCGTTGTCTAGCAATCAGCATTCCTTGAGTACTAAGTGCACCGAGGTTTTGCAAACATGGGATTTTTCCATGCTTGCTGATAATTTTCTGGTCTGCATCAATTTGACTGCATGATCTTTAGTATAGACGCAGCTGTATTCACTATTTACTTAAATATAAAGAATGGGTAGAAAATGTATTCAACTAGAATAGCAACTAAATAGATCAAGAAGGGGCAACCTGAGGTCCCCCAGATGCAATCCTAATGACAAGGAATTTTGAAAGTTGTAGGGTAAAGTATCTGGAAGACAAGAAGATATTTTGCTTTTCTATCTCTTTTCAGAAATAAAATTATCACCCACTTAACCTCCCACATCAAGTCTAGCCTATAATACTCAACAACTATCCAATCTGAATCCAAATACAATAGTCTGCAAAATATAGGTGATCCTCGATTTACAATAGTTTATTTAGTGACCGTTTGAAGTTACAACGGCACTGAAAAAAGTGAGTTATAACCGTTTTTTGCACTTATAATGCTGCACTTTTGCAGCATTCCCCTGGTTACATCATCAAAATTCAGACACTTGGCAACTGACTTATTTATGATGGTTGCAGTGTCCCAGAGTCATGTGATTACCTTTTGTGACCTCCTGACAAGCAAAGGCAGTGGGGAAGCCAGTTCACTTAACAATCATATTCCTAACTGAAAAACTGCAGTGATTCACAACTGTGGCAAGAAAGGTCATAAAATGGGGCAAAACTCACTTAACTGTCTCACTTAGCAACAGAAATTTAGGGCTCAGTTATCAGAAGTCGAGGACTACCTGTATTTATGGATCAGCTTGTGATCTTAAATGTCAATGTCAGTTATTATTTTTAAGGATAATTAGGATTTTCTGCTCCTATCTACTTTGAATATTCCGGATGCGGGAGATGTTGATTTCTTTAAAATTTTAGGCTTGAATTCTGTCAGATAAGATGTGAATTGTGTATGTAAGTACAGAAGAAGAAGAGAAAGGACATATATATGAGAGAAGTCGAGAATATTGGTTTTTAAAAAATTAATTTTTAAGGGATCCTTCAATATAAATCCAACATTACTAGAATATTACTAGTCTGAGAAGAATAAAAGAATGATTTTTTTAAATTTAAATCTTGAATTTGAATGAAAGTCTTATACAAAGCCTTACAATAGTAGTTGTCTTACTATGACTGAAACATTCTTGATTCCTACAAACTGTTGCGAATTAATTTTCAAATCCATATTTTTACACATATGAATTTATATAGTTACGTTGCAAATCTTTTTTCCCCCTTTAAAGGAAAGAAATCCATATCTAAAAAAGCAGTTACAAAGAAAAGGAAATCTATTACAAAGCCTATTGTCCCAGAATTCCAGGTAATACCTTTTGGGTTTTATTTGGTTCAATAAATGATTTGAAAGCTTGTAACTTCTACAGTGACTGGTTAATATCTCCCTCACTCCAAATAATACTTAGGTTAACATTACCAAATTAATAATAAACAAAAGAATTTGTCCTGAAATAATCATATAATATTTTATCTAGATTATAGAGATTTTTTGGAATTGCATTGGTCAGTGACAAATGCATGTAACAATAATCTGAGAATTGGTGTCAGAGGAAGATTATATGGAAGAGAATATTTGTAGCTCAGGGTTGAGCTGTGGAAATCTTGATGTTGTCCAAGCTTGGTTTTTTACTTGTAAATGTGTCACTACCAAACTAGATACAGTGCTACAAAGGAATGGGATTTGCTCTCATTTTATATGCTAGTGGTACATCCATGAACACCAACTATCAGTCAGAGCACATGATGAAAACACTTAACTCCTTAAAACTCTTTAACCATAACTTCAACTGGGGAACTGTGAACATCCTAGATCACGCCAAGTCCAAAACTGCTAGAGAATTTCTGGAATCCTGGCACTGAGACAAATCAACCATCAACAGGCACTTAGAGATAAACAACATCTAAATAGCATTCAACAAGACAATCAAAAAGCCAAAAAGGAATCACTAAGACCAAAACACTTCCTCACCAGCAATCAACACGCAGATGAGCAGAGATTAACACCAAGTTTAACACTAGATCAAAAATCAAAAAGTAAATAATATTCTAATCAAGAAACTATCAACTCAGACAAGCAACCTAAACAGTAAACAACAACTCAATCAAGAAACCACCAAGACCACTCCCACCAACACTGTTAGGGCAAGCCACTAATACGGTATATAAAGAGAGCAAACCCCACACTTTCTAGCACTGATGGTGTTGTCTATTTGGGTAGTGAAACATCTACAAGAAAACAACCAAGCTCAGAGAGCACCAAGAACCCCACAGTGTATTATGTATTAAATATTTATTACATATATTGATTGAATGGTCATTTTCCAACTATGAATCCTTATATACTGCTCAAAAAAATAAAGGGAACACAAGCAGAAGACATCCGAGATCTGAATGAATGAAATAGCCTTATTAAATACTTTGTTCTTTACATACAGTAGTTTATACACTGCTCAAACAACTAAAGGGAACACAAAACTACTGTATGTAATGAACAAAGTATTTAATAAGGCTATTTCATTCATTCAGATCTCGGATGTCTTCTGCTTGTGTTCCCTTTATTTTTTTGAGCAGTGTATAATAATTTGGGGGCCATAAGCCAGGTAGTGACGCAACTGAGATATTCTGGCCTGGCTTTAAAAATAGCTGGTCAGAGTCTGTGGTAGTAGGCTAAATAAATTTAAATAAATAAATAAACCTCCCCCTTGTGTGTATGTGGTATAATAGGAGTGGAAGGATTCTGCCATTCCCACATACGTTTCCTCTAGAAGAGGGATCAGAATTGGACTATTTGAAAATATTTTATAGTTACAGTAGAGTTGGAAGGCCTCTGAGATGCAGAACAACAACCACTCATATTCTTAAAATCCCTCCAAACCTGAAAAATTACATCAATTTTTTTTTTCATTTTACTGCTGGCTTTCAACATCATTAGGGACAATATGTAGCACAAAGTCTGCCCACCCCTTTTTATGGAACCCAAATGGCATCAAAACTTAACAAAAGTGCAGCTATACTTCAGGGGAAGAACTCATATGAGCAGATCAATGATAGCAGAGAATGCTCAGTGGAATCCAAATCTAACTGGTTCTATTTGCAACATATATTCAATTATTTTGTAAATAATTGAGTGCAGTAATACTTATTTTCTAATAAATTGTGCTGCATGTCTCTGATTTTTAATAGTTTAACTTTTTTCTCTTTTTCCAGCTTATTTGCACTAATCTTGATGAACTCAGGGAATTAATTAGAAAAACTGAGAATGAACTCAAAGATATTGAGCATATTAAAAAGAAATCGGTATGTGTTTTATTTTTTTTCTTAATGCATCATATTAAAGCTATTTGTTAAGATCATTTCTTTTAGATAGCTAATCAATGGTTTCTCAATTCTGATCTGGTTGTTCAACTGTTACTGAACAAAAATTCCTAGTATCTTCCACCATTGAACATATTGAATGGGACAGTGCAACTTCTTGAAGGCAACTGACTCCCTAATCTCTATTTTTTTCAATCATGAAAAACTTTAAAAGTTTTTAACTAGGAGACATTTTGGTTTCCAGTTAATTTAAATGAAAGAAAATATTTGGATACTAGTATTTGAGCATTATCTCTAATTACAACTTATAATGTTACCTTTAGCCAAATAAAATAACTTAGATTTCTATATTGTCTTCCAATCTCCTAACAGATTTATCAAATACTGAAAGACTTCTGAATAGGAAACATAATTGTATCACTTTAGTACATCATGAAACTAGCAGGAAATTACAGATAGTGCTTAACTTACAGTGATTCATTTAATGACCATTCAAAGTTGCAATGGCACTGAAAAAAGTGACTTATGACTTTTTATCACACTTATGACTGTTGCAGCATCCCCATGGGTCATATGATCAAAATGTGGATGCTTGGCAACTGACTGATATTTATGACGATTGCACTGTCCCAGAGTCATGTGATAACTTTTTGCCACCTTCTGACATACAATGTCAGTGGGGAAGCCAGATTAAGAACCATGTTACCAACTTAACAACTGTAGTGATTCACTTAACAACAGTGGCAAGAAAGGTTATAAAATGGGGCAAAATTCACTTAACAAAAGTTTCACTTAGCAAGTAGACAAGACTTCTGCTCAGCAATGTGTTAGGATGTGAGTTTTATTTTTTATTTTATTTCAAATTTATATACCGCACCTTCTCCCAAGGGACTCAGGGCGGTGTACAGCCAGATAAAAACATACAATACAAACATTAAGAACAATTAAAAGAATATATATTAATTTGGCCCCAGTTTAAAATGACAAACCAATTAAAAATTAAAAATTTAAAAATATGTTAAGCCAGCCCGGCTTGATGAAAAAAGAAAGTTTTAAGGGCACGGCAGAAGGCACCGAGGTCTTGGATTCTCCTTATCTCAGGGGGCAGCTGGTTCCATAGGGTAGGTGCCCCCACAGAGAAGGCCCTCCCCCTGGGGGTCACCAGCCTACATTGTTTGGCTGATGGCACCCTGAGGAGGCCCTCTCTGTGGGAGCGCACGGGTCGATGGGAGGTTGTCGGTAGCAGCAGGCGATCTCGAAGATAACTAGGTCCTATGCCATGGAGTGCTTTAAAGGTGGTAACCAACACCTTGAAGCGCAGCCGGAAGACCACTGGGAGCCAGTGCAGCTCGCACAGGAGCGGTGTTATGTGGGAGCGCCATGCAGCTCCCGTAATTACCCGCGCGGCTGCATTCTGGACCAGTTGGAGTGTCCGGGTGCTCTTCAAGGGGAGCCCCTGTAGAGAGCATTGCAGTAGTCCAGGCAAGAGGTGACGAGGGCATGAGTGACTGTGCACATGGAATCCCGATCAAGAAAGGGTCGCAACTGGCGAATGAGGCGAACCTGACAAAAGGTCCCCCTGGCTACAGCCGTCAGATGTTCCTCCAAGGACAGTTGCGTATCCAGGAGGACTCCCAGATTGCGCGCCCTCTCCGAAGGGGCCAAAGACTCGCCCCCAATAGTCAGCGATGGAGTCAGCTGACTATATCGGGATGCCAGGAACCACAGCCACTCAGTCTTGGAAGGGTTGAGCTTGAGCCTGTTCCTCCCCATCCAGATCTGCACAGCCTCCAGGCACTGAGACATCACTTCAAGGGCATCGTTGGGGTGGCCTGGGGTGGAGATGTACAGCTGGGTGTCATCAGCATACTGGTGGTACTTCACCCCAAAGCCACGGATGATCTCACCAGCGGCTTCACATAAATGTTGAACAAAAGGGGCGAGAGGACCGACCCCTGAGGCACTCCACAGATGAGAGGCCTCAAGGTCGACCTCTGCCCCCCTGCCAACACAAACTGCGACCGGTTGGAGAGAAAGGAGGAGAACCACCGTAACACGGTGCCCCCCATCCCCAACTCTTCCAACCGGTGCAGCATGATACCATGGTCGATGGTGTCAAAAGCTGCTGAGAGGTCTAACAGGGCTAGAACAGAGGAGCAACCCCTGTCCCGAGCCCTCCAGAGATCATCTACCAACGCGACCAATGCCGTTTCCGTGCTGTGCCCAGGCCTGAAACCCGACTGGAACGGATCTAGATAAGACGTTTCCTCCAGGAATTGTGGAAACTGTCGCGCGACCACACTCTCAACAACCTTCACCACGAAGCGAAGGTTGGAGACAGGACGGTAGTTGGCCAATACTGCCGGGTCCAGGGAGGGCTTCTTGAGAAGAGGCCTCACCACCGCCTCTTTCAAGGCTGTGGGGAAGTGACCCTCACTCAACGAAGCGTTAATAATTCCCTGGAGCCAGCCTCGTGTAACCTCCCGGGAAGCCAGTACTAACCAGGAGGGACACAGATCCAGTAAACATGTGGCCGCACTAAGTCTCCCCAAAATCCTGTCCACGTCATCAGGGGTCACAGAGTCAAACTCTTCCCAGATAACGTTCTCAAGACTATTCTTTGCCACCCTGCCCGATCTACCCAGTCAGAGTCCAAATCCCCCCGGATCTGAGCGATTTTGTCATACAGATATTGTCCGAAATCATCAGCCCTGCCTTCCAGAGGGTCCTCCCGCGCTCTTGGTTGAAGCAGGGAGCGGGTCACCCTGAACAGGGTGGCCAGACGATTCTCTGATGACGCAATAAGAGCGGAAAAGTAATTAAACTTTGCTGCTTTTATCGCCACTAAGTAGGTCTTAATATGCGACCTTACTAGTGTTCGGTCAGATTCAGCGAGACTGGCCCTCCAACTGCTCTCCAGGTGTCTTTTCCGGCGCCTCATCTCCCTCAGCTCCTCGGTAAACCAAGGAGCCACGAGGGATCGGCACCGGGTCAGAGGCCGCAGAGGCACAACTCGATCCAAGGCCCCACCAGCCGCCCGATCCCAGGCAGCCACCAGGTCCTCGGCCGAGTCATGTGCCAGATCTTCAGGAGGTGGCCCAAGCTCCATCTGGAACCTCTCAGGATCCATCAGGCGCCTGGGGTGGACCCATCTTATTGGCTCCACCTCCCTGTGGCGGGGTGTAGCGGTTTGAAGGTCCAGGCGAAGGAGCGAGTGGTCTGACCATGACAAGGGTTCCATGTCTATATCCCCTATAACAAGACCACTCAACCACTGGCCAGAGACAAAAATCAAGTCCAGAATGTGACCCCCCCTGTGGGTGGAGCCATGAACTAGCTGGGTCAGGTCCATGGCCGTCATGGAAGCCATGAACTCCCGAGCCATCTCTGACGTTTCACCAATGGATGGCAAGTTGAAATCACCCATGACCATAAGCCTGGGTGTATTAACTGCCACCATGGCTATCACGTCGAGGAGCTTGGGCAGGGCCGTTGCCACGCGGCAGGGAACCAGGTACGCAAGCAACAAGCCCATCTGAACCCCATGACCCCATCTCACAAAGAGGGATTCACATCCAGCAATCTGTGGCACAGTGGTCTCCCTCGGACCAAGACCTTCGTTAATAATAACCGCCACCCCCCTGCCCCTCCCCTGGGCCCTTGGCTGATTGAATGCTCTGAAGCCTGGTGGGCACATCTCAACCAGGGGGACCCCTCCCTCCGGGCCCAACCAGGTCTCCGTAATACCTGCCAAGCCCGCTCCCCCCTCCTGTATAAAATTGTGGATGAGGGGGGCCTTATTTACCATGGACCTGGTGTTCCACAGCATCAGCCGAAGGCCCAGATCCTGAGTATCTGAGCCACCTAGTATCCGAGAGGAGCCTTGGAGACTGGGGCGCGCAATAGCTCTCAAACAGCGAATGCGCTCCCCCGACACGTGATATGGTCTCCTGCTCCTGCCATATCTGCCCCTCCCATCCACCGTGCTAATGGCCCATCCCTCATTGGTATAGCCCTCTATCCCCTCCACAATCCCTCGTCCAGCACCCTCCAAACCATTGCCCCGTGCCGGGCTCGGCTCCGACCTTAGTGGATTCCCCCCCCCAATCCCTTTTGGTCGTTCTCTCAGTTCCCCTTAAAAGATTGTTAAAAATCCCCCTCCCTGAACCCTTTAAAATCTTATTAAAAAACTTCCCCAAGAAACCCCACAAGCTCTTCCTCGCGCCATGCCATCTCTCAGGATTCCAAAATCTGTCATCGAGATAGGCCCTCGATAAAGTGGAGGGCCATACCTGCGAGAGGGGGGAATCTCGCAAGGCAAGGAGTTCAGACACTGAATACATCAAATCGTTAGGGGTGAGAAAAGTCCATGGTCGGGAGACCACCATGATGTTATAGTACAGGAGAAAGAGTTCCAGTCCATGGCACAGGCAACCGGGCTCCATTGCCCTCTCACAGCAATGGAGGGGAAGATATATGCCATCCAACCCCCGGAAGTTTCTTGGCCAACCATCCTCTCACAAAGGCCGACCAATAAAACTTTGATGGACACCGGGAGTGAAGGCAGCCATACACTGACTCCCACCGGCCTCGAGTCCATAGATCCAGTTCCCCATATGGGTTAGGAGAAGTCAGAAAGCCCAATCCTCCAGCTCATGAACAGGATTTAGTTCGAAATTTAGTTCAGGAGAAATCTTGCAAAGGCAGGAGATTCAGAGATGGCTTGATAGAAATGGGGGAAAGTAGGAACAGCTCAGCAGGCCAGGATAGGTTGGGTAGTTATAACCATAATAAGGCCAACAAGGTCTCAACTTGGTAGAAAAAGAGGGAGAGGAGGGGGGAAGTATAGGCAGCAAGTGCCAATAGCCATTTTCCAGCCCCCTCAATCTCTCACAGCTTCCAATTGATGAAACATAGCGCTCCCCAGTTTTGCCCCCTCTAGCTCACCATGAAGGTCTCCGGGTCTGCATGGGGGCGGCCCT